CAGTACTCAAAATAACCTGATGGCCTGGATCCTTGCTCCTTCCACCATCCTCAGACCCTCCCATCTCCATGCTACCCATGAGCCATCACCCAATTAACCACAGGGTGATGGTTCGCTGGGCTGAGTGCTGCAGGGATGGGGGCTGTTCCTTTCTCTTCCCCAGATCATCATCCACGGCAGCTACGCTCTGGTCCAGCAGCCCCGTTTCCACATCTTTTTCATCATCCCGGCTCTCATCTATGGCGCAGACAAGCTGCTCAGCCTGAGCAGGAAGAAGGTGGAGATTGGTGTGGTGAAAGCCGAGCTCCTTCCTTCAGGTACCACAGCCCCACAGTGCCAGGTCAGGCCATGCACAAGAGCATCAGGGGGCTGCAGAGGAAGAGGAAACCCAACTCCTCAGGGGCTGAATTTTCTGGTCCTGTTGGTGTTGTGGGTACCCCATGGCAGCAATCCTGGCACGCAGATTATTCTTATCTGGAAGATATCCTGCTGGCGTCACATAATACCTCCACACAGGGAGACAGCCTTGTTCTGTCTTATTCTATATGGTCCCCAATGCCTTCCCAGCACCCATGCATGCCAAGGGTCTCCTGGTGGCCCTCCACAGATAGAGAAACTGAGGCACTAAGCCAACACAACAGCTTTCCCTCCCTGAGTAGAGGAGTAGGAGTCATTTAGAACCGCATGGTCCCCATATCATGCCCTGGCACAGCCTTTCTGAGCATTCTTTGCCCAGGTCTGGCTCCATGGCTTGTCCCTAAACCCCGTCCTCCTAGCACTTGCACAGGTCAAATATTCCACCTTTCCTTGAGGCTACTGATCCTTCCTAGGCCTTTTTCCTCCACTATTCAATGTCTCAAGCCTTCTGTTACCCGCACCACCCAGGTGTGACCCATCTCCGGTTCCAGAGGCCACATGACTTTGACTACAAGTCAGGGCAGTGGGTGCGCATTGCCTGTGTGGCTCTCGGCACCACTGAGTACCACCCGTTCACCCTGACCTCGGCACCGCACGAGGACACGCTGAGCCTGCACATCCGCGCTGTGGGACCCTGGACTACCCGCTTGCGGGAGCTCTACTCCCCAGAGAGCCTGGCCACCATCGGCAAGCTGCCCAAGGTGAGCTCAGCATTGCGCATGATTCTCTAAGGGCAGGCAGCTTCCGGGTCCAAAGTGACTTGGTGCTGAGTTAAGCCAAACCCAAGGCACTTGAAGGTGCTAAGCTCTGGGTGAGTGGAGGAGAAAGATGCTTTGCTAAGAGTCAACTTCCTTCCAGCTCTACCTTGACGGACCTTTTGGGGAGGGTCACCAGGAGTGGAACAAGTTTGAGGTGTCAGTGTTGGTGGGAGGAGGCATCGGAGTGACGCCCTTTGCATCCATCCTCAAGGACTTAGTCTTCAAGTCATCCTTCAGCTCCAAGCTGCTGTGTAAAAAGGTGAGAGGAAGCAGACAGAGGGCAAGAGCCCTCCCAGAACACCTTGTGCTGCTTCCGGCCTCTTTGGGGGTGAGATTCAACAAAATCTACCAAGAAAGGACCCCCTTGGGTGTCTTGGCCCTGTACTGAATCTCATTCCCTGTGTGCCACAGATTTACTTCATCTGGGTGACGCGGACGCAGCGGCAGTTCGAGTGGCTGGCCGACATCATCCGCGAGGTGGAGGAGGCCGACCAGAATGGGCTGGTCTCTGTGCACATCTACATCACACAGCTGGCCGAGAAGTTTGACCTGCGCACCACCATGCTGGTGAGCTCCATGCCAGGGCTGCCCACCAGGGAGGTGCCTGAGCCGTGCTGGTCTAATGTGTCACGGGACTGCGCTCTATCACCCATTTTGGGCGGCCTCCGTTCTTGCCTTTCCTCACCTCACTGCAGGAGGTGCACCCTGAGGTCTGGGCAACCTGCTCTGGGCCTTGGGGACCTGCATAGGGGCAGGAGGGGAGTACCCACTGGCCAGTGCAGGCAACAGTGACATCCCTGGTCCCAGCCCATCTGCAAAGGCCCCATCTATGGAGGGGGGACATCCATTCCATGGCCCCACTGACTCCATGGGAAGTCCCTGGAAGATTCCTCAGGGAGGGGCAGCCATCAGCCATATCTGATGCTGCCAGAGGATGAGGTTCCAAAGGGTTGGCATGAGCAATCCCAGTGGTGCCTGGGCTGGGGGGAGAGGTCATGACACCAGACTCAACATCCCTTTGGCCTCCCTCTTTCCTCAGGTGCAGAAGATTGGGGTATTCAGCTGTGGCCCACTTGGGATGACGAAGAGTGTGGAAAAGGCCTGTCAGCAAGTTAACAAGAAGGACCAGACTTACTTTGTGCATCACTATGAGAATTTCTGACCCTATCCCCTGCTCTTTTCCTCCCTGGGTTGCTTGCAGCAGAGAGCTGGGTTTGGGCATGGCCTTGCCTTCACCTGCCCTCTGTCCAGCAGCCATGTCCCAGGACCTTCTAGCAAGCATGGCTCGGTCTGCAGATCATCTTTCTGTCGGAGCCAGCTATCACAGCGGGTACTCTCCTCGGGCCATCTCCTGGTGTGCACCGCACTGGCCTCTCGAAGCGATACCAGGGCATCTTGGTTGGAAACACTTGTGTTAAACCCCCCGCATCCATGTGGTGCCACTTCAGATAGTTCCCCTAGCTGCTGTCACAAAGAAACTCCCATCTGCAACTCCGGCCCCGTGGGAGCTGGGGAAGGGACAGAGCTGAGAATAAGGCACTTGGTGCCCTAGTACAGCGTTGGCTGCACAGCCCCCATGTTCCCCCGGCCTAGGGCACCCTGATACCACCCACGCACTGAGTTTTGTGCACTCATGCATCCTCCACCTCAACAGGTTGTCAGTGTGTATGTCCCCATCCAGAAAACCCATCCTTCAACTCAAGCAAGGCTGTGCTGCCTTAATCCCCCAAGACGGTAAAGCACAGGCTCCACAGGGTCACTTGGGGAACTCCTGTGAACAGCTTTTGGAAGCAGCTTAGCTCCTGCGCAACCTCAATCCAGGGCACTTTTTGCCCCGAGACTTTGCACAATGCTCCCCACCGTCCCTCTCTGGGAAGTGGGCTGTTTCCCTACTGTACTCATTTGCCTCCATTCATTAGCACTTCAAGCTTCCCCTCAGTTTGCTCAGGGCCTTAGTTGTGGTTGCGTTGACATCTTCCAGCAATGCCACCCTCCTTTGATGAGGGATCATTCACGCTTGTTTAACTAATGCCTGACTATGCATCACTGGGCAGCCTATCTCCCGGGCTATGAGTAATAGCATTCCTCTTTGCTTAAATAAAGTTGACCAACACTTTAAATCATTTTCTCGTCTCTTGTCGCTGCACCTCGGACACTGGGCGCACACTTGCAGCACAGTGTTTGGCTCTTACAGAGCGTTTGTCCCATATGGCCTGGAAACATTTAGGTTAAATAGGAAGAATGAGGAATAGGGATGAGAAAGGTGGTGGTGGGGTGTTGTTCAGGCTTAAAACAGCCTTGTTTTTTGTGTTGTCACTAAATTTTGTTTATGGAGGGGTTATGATATAGCTGGAGGCTTGGGACTTGAACCTAGGCCCAGTTTCTGCTGCAATAACCTGCAGCAACGTCCTGCAGTGGCAATGCCTCCTGGCGTGGGGCCCTGTATCTTTATCTATATCTACTTGCACCAGAAATCCAGCACAGCCCTGTCACCCCAAAGTCTTTCTCAGTCCCTTCTCAGGTTTTGGTGTGACTAGAGGTGGTGGTAGGTTGGCAGTGGGCACCTCCCAACCACGGAGCTGAGCGCAGTGCAGGACATGCAGGGAGGTTTCTGAAGGACCAACCTGGGCTCTCCCTGTTTTTCACGTGCTGCAATAGGAGCAAGGTCCCCAAGCCACAAAACCACAGACGCCTCCAAACCAACCTCCCAAAGCTTCAAGGTACACACAGCCATCAAGTAGGAACCATTTATTGGATGAAGTTCGGTACCGGCCCAAGAGAGGGTTCTTTAATAGATCAACTGGTAGAATCAAAGAAGACAACTGTAATCTACAACTCAATTTTGTTAACAACAAACTTTTGCAACAGTAGCACCACATTCATGGCTCAAAAACACAGCAGGCATCTCTGATCTTTGTCCCTGGTGGAGCAGGGGTTTGGACTAGATGATGTCTAGAGGTCAACCATTTTGCGATTCTGTGATACCGAGCTGCGATTCCTTTGCAGTGCTAAAACCTCTGAGCGATGCTGTCCCATCACCGCCACGCTCAAGGAAAGCAGCCCCCTGCCAGCAGCCCTTTCTCGGGGCCCACGGTCGACTGCACCTGTGGGTTGCCCAAGCCAAGATCAGACTCTCTGCACTCCCAGATGGAGACAGGGCAGTTCTGCTGCAAGCACATTCCAGGCTGCTCTGCAACAGTCCATTCTGCCCCACGGGCAGTTGCAACGGGGGCATGGCCGATACAGCCCAACCAGCCCTGGCCTCTACACTTTGGGCCTGCAGCGTGTTCCACAGCTATTTGCAAAGAGCATGGAGGGAACCACGGAAATGGGCTCACCAGACTTTGTTCCACAGGCTATTAAAATCCCTGAGCGTCCTCAAGGACATGTGCCACCGGAAGACTGAGTATTCAAGTAAGGTTATCCTGGACCCAGGGATTTATATGTGGGAAGAGCAGTGTCAAGTAAAATCTGAGGGCAGCAAGGTCCTGAATTCAAGCTTCTTTTATGTCTGTGACGCAGGTGACGTCCTCCCACCGCCTGTGCCCAGACAAACCCGCAGGACCACAAGGGTGCCTCTGGGAGCACACACAAGGGGAGCGTGCTGCCCGCAGAAGAACCCCAGCTCCTCAGAGCATGTCGTCTGCTGGAGAAGAGCCCAATGTGGCAATCAAGGTGTCTAACCAAAGAGCAGCATTTTGCCTCAAACTATTTCCTATTGGTTCTTCCAAATGGTTGGCTGCAAATATCCCTCGGGGCTTCTTCAGCCTCATTACAGTTTGATTGTATAACTCTATTACAAACAAGTGTCTGCCTCAAGTGACTATGAGAACATGCAACAACCATATATCAGCCTCCCGCGGCCTCATCCATCAAGTCACATACAGGCAGTGTTAACAGGGGAGAGGGCCGGGCACCACCGCATCTCAGGGGTTCTGGTCGTTGGGGTCACACTTCAGCATGACTTTTATTCCCTCACCCCTCTTAGTAGTCTCAAATGCTTCCAGAGCCTTTTCCAGGGGGAAGCGGTGTGTAACCAAGGGCTTGACGTTTACGCGCTTGGACGCCAGAAGAGCAATTGCCATGGGCCACCTGGAAGGGAAAGGTAGAGCAGGACATGAGAACAGTGACTGGTTTGGATCCAGGAAGTCTCTGCAAAGACCTATGCTCACCAAGAGCCCCAAGGAAAGAGCAGGGAAGAGACGCACTTTGTTATAATAATTTTCACAGCTCCAGGAAGCAAGGGGAATTTTGCCCACTATGGTTTTCACAGCAAGCCAGTCCACTTGCAGACAAGCCAAACTCCTCCAGAATGCCCACAGCACATGGCCCTTCCTCTCCACAGGGCACAGGAGTGGAAAGCACTGGGGGCTGGAGGTCCCATCAGCTGATGGACTGGCCTGCTTTACTGTGATCAGGTTTGCAGTGCAGGACTGTTGCAGTAATTTTGGCTTAAAGCACAAGATAAATCAGCCAGGCTGTCAGTCCTGTAGTGCTGGCATTTCAGAGACATGAGCTTTAACTGTTTTAAATAAAAACAAAGTTTTCCCCTTCCTTTTTCCTTGTGGAAAGCAAGAATTTCCTGAGGACGAGATGCTCTTCAGCTCACCCGGCCCCGCACAAGACTCACGTGTTGCAGTAGCGGAATATTCCCCTGATATCCACCTCCCGCACGGCAGCGTTCACGATGGGCACGGTCATCATGTCAGGCCCCAGTCCCACCAGCACCAAGGTCCCGCCAGAACGAGTGGCCTGAGGAACACACACAAAAATATGTTAAATCCTGCTAAACAAGGTTAGTCACCACTGCCAGAGCCTTCGCAGCACACCGTAAAAAATAGAATCACTGTTTGTGGCTGTAATGGATTGCCTAGAGCACAGCAGAGAAGCCAATCCTGAAGGATTTTGGTATTCTAAAAAATGACTGGCACTGAAGAATACCAAAGGTTTGGAGGATTTTCAACGGGAGAGATGTAAAATGTCTAAAAGCCAGATATTCCAGGTTTTTTATGTGCCTAAAGTGCAGCTGAGCCACAAAGAAGCCTTAAAAAGCACAAAGCCACCTAGCTATGGGGCAAGTTAGAAAATACCTCAGATTTAAGGGTAGCCACATCCCTGTGGGGCTTTACAGAGGTTTTGAAATGACTATGCCCCTCTCCTTAACCATCCTTCATACCTGGAAGCATGCTACCCTCCTACATTTCTAACTCCGAAGTCCAAACTAGAGTCACATGCAGCAGGAACATCCTCACTGGGAGAAGCCTACAGGAAATGTAGGGCCAGATTAAGAGCAGACCTAGTCCACCTATGCCACACAGGCAGAAGCACCCTTGTGCTGTCTGGTATGCTGATATGATATGCAGTGCTACACAGCCAAGGCACAGCAGACAAGCTGGGGAAATCCATATTCACATTACAGTAGCACGCAAAAGCTTTTCCTGCAATTGAGAAGGCAGCTGAGGAACTGGATCAGATGTGCCTGGCCCAAAGTCAGCTGGCAAACTAGTGCCAAAATCAGGAGCATAATCCAGGTCTGCTGAACCTCACCAAGAGGATCACTCATCATTCAAAATACAAGTCATGCCAAACACCATATCCTGTGAGGAATACTATACTAAGGTCTCCTACAAGCTTAAAATTAAATGACAGGCCTGCAGAATCTCTTTTGTCCCAGGAGTCTCTTTAAAAAACTATTTTCTCCTTGTTTCTATTTTTACCCTGAATGAAGATAATGACTAACAACAAATAGCTCCTATCACTGTATCAGCTGATTTTTCCTTGTTATATCTATATTGCGTTGTTAGAATTTACAACTACTACTTAATCACGCCTTTGGGATGGGTTCCTGAACTCTCCTGGAGGTGAGCTTATTCCTGGGGAATTGCCACCACTGCCATGCTGTCAGAGAGTTGGGAAATTTAGAGCACAGGACAAAAGCAGTGGGGTGTTTCTTAGGAGAGACAAGACTGGAGGGGAGATGGTCATGATCCCACTGCAAACGGGATTTGGGCAGTGCACTCTGCAGGAGTTGCCTGGAGCTCAGCTTTCTAAGAAGGATTCCCATATGGAGTCTCGGTAAGGATGGGGTCCCAGAGAACATATATCTAGCAAGTATTTGTGACTTTATCTCCTGATTGTTCTCTCTATGAGAGCAGAATAATGTCATTCACTGCTGTGTTCCAGAAAGAGGAAAGCAAATGGCAGTACTACTACAAGAAGAAGTGATACTCACGTAAATGCCAGCCTGGACGCAGGCTTCTACTCCTGTACACTCCACAGTTATGTCAGGCATGCAGCCAAGCAGACTTTTTACTTTGGATGCCACCTCCTGTGGGGTCTCCTTCTTTACCTGAATGATGTTATCTGCCCCTACCTCCTTGGCTTTCTGCAGGCGAGAGGCAGATAAATCTGGAGGAAGATGAAACAAGTCAACAAGTGAAGAACTATATGAAGCAGAGGCAGAGCCAGGACATGAGCCTGCAATCCACTTCTTACCACTACCTGATGTCTTGACAGGAGTGATAGAGCCACCTTGGTAGGTGACCAGTCGTCAGCTATCTCAGGAAAGAAACTCGCATTTGTTATGTGGTGGGACAAGATGGGAAGTTACAGCTCTTTAGTACTTTCTCAAAATTTATGTAGCCTGTGCAAACCAAAGGGCTTCCCACCCTTAAAGTATATAGGAGGCCACCCCAAAGAAGCCTTGATGCAAGCACTTTTCTCTGGAGTCTGAACATATGCTCATAGAGCAGCACACCACCAGAGAAGGGATGTGTCTAAGTCCCCTCTCCAATTCTCACAGCTGTCAGTGAGGAGGTGCAGAGGAGATCTGATCATTTTTCTAGGCAAGCAGAGAAGGATGAGCAATGAGGATAACTTAAGACCCAAGAGACGTCATAGATTTTCCAGCTGAAGGGGCAGGACTTCAAAGAGGCAAAGCACAAACTCTCCAAACCAACTGATAAAAGCACATTATGTGAAGCAACATCCAAGGGAAGGAACAGCTGCAACCACCAGACCCAAGGTCTGCTTTTCAAAGAACATCATTTCCTAGGTCTCCAAATTCCTCTTCAGTACTGCAGAAGCACCAAGAGGCAACAGGGCCAAGGAAGATGAGAAGGCCATGCTGAAAGAGCATGCACACTGGAACTACAAGCAGGGAAGTGACTGCAACGTGAAGAGCTGTGACCAAGTGCTGGCACACATATACCAGCTACACTGCCGGGGCTGTGCTGCTACTGTGATTGCCCTGGGCTAATACATGCTGCAGGCCCAACATTCACTGCAGAGCAGAGGAACCTTAGTGCAGGAAAAGGCAAGAGGCAGCAGGAGGACAGGACAGACGGGGGAGTGCTAAGCTGCCCTTGACCTGCTTGAAAAATGCAGTTATATCTTACCAAAGCTGCCAGCTGACACTGCCTAATCCTGCATTGCTCAGTGCCTTTCCCGTAATGACAATTTCTTGAAGCAATGTCACTAACTCAGCAGGGACCTTAATCCACTAGTGGAACAGGACTGTAAGAAAAACACAACATATACAAGCTCAGCAAGATAACCTAGGCAGAAGCCTACAATTAGGCAAATCCCACCTCTCATTTCTTTTGCATTTTCTTTCCCTGACTCTCAAGACAAGGTACTTGGTTACTGCTTATGTTCTTTCCTCAAGAATGTCCTAGGCATTGCAGGCACTCTGCCACTGCTCCCTTATGACTGGGAATGCCATGGCAGAGCACCAAGAAGCCTTCCAGACATGAGATTTCACCCTGAGCTCAAAGGATCATTGATTTGGCCATTCAACTTCTAATGATGCCAGATGAAAGGAGATCAAGAGCTCTCTGAGAGCTTCCTCAATGAACCATCAGCAGATGCTTTCAGCTGAGCACACTGCATAATGTATTAATTGCCAACACTAAGCATGTCCCTGCAGTTGCAGACATCTCCCTTTCTTTTACCCTTCTTACAACAGGGCCAGAGGCTTCTCCGTGCTTCTCAAGGCAGTTTCTGCCACATATGAATTACTAGCCAAGCATGTAAGATAAAGAAACCACAATACCAATAGATTGGCCCTATGATATCCCATTAACACAAAGAAACAAGACAGGTGAAGATATATATCTGTGAAGGAATGCCAGTACTGTGGTACTCTGTCCACAGGAATTGTTACAGTTCCATACACAAATATGTTAAAGACCTAAAAATTAAAGATAGTCCATAACTAGTGGCCTCATAAGGTCACCACTCTTTGCCCATCTCTGTGCTTGGATCAGCTGCCACCACAGTTCAGCTGGTCTTCTAGAGAAGGCAAAGGTGAAGAAACAACTTGCTTTAGCGCACAGCCAGCACTAGCAAGGGACTAGCCAAGGGACTGGCCACGTGTGAGAGCACACTGTGGCTGGCCACTCCGGACAGGAGCACGCCAGGAGACCAGGACCATCACGGACGTAGTAATGATTCATACCAGAGCAGGTATCTCTGACTTGGAGCTTGGCAAAAGCGTTACTGATTCGAGAAAACTGAACTGTATTGAAGGAGAACTCACCTTGAGCAACCCAAGAAAGAACATACCTCGTTAAAGCTGAGAACATTCACCAAACCTGTCCTGACATGCCTATGACAGACAAATCCTTCGTGGCTGAAGTTGAAGCCCTGGCCCATAGCATGGATCAAGCTGCTCTGTGCATCCAGGTTGCTGATACTTTCTCTTCCACGTCCCCTGGAAGGAACTTACCCATCCCTCTCCCAACCCCACTAGGGCCTGAACATCTCTGAACAGGAGGAGGCAGAGTGTAGAATAGAACAGTGGCACCTCAAAGGCAGAAACTGTCTCTTTTTGTGCACTGAAGCAGTGGTCTAAAGAGGCTTGTGTTTTTGCACTGGAAGAGATGTCTGGATTAAAGCTGGAAACTTAGTTGCAATAGCAAGACTCTTCAAATGCAGGGCTGGTGGAATGGGCAAGTCTCTTCAGCCAGTGATCCTAGCCTTGAAATTCAGAAAACTATAGCTTTCCCAAGTTGTGTCTCTAAGACACACAGCAAGTCCACCACAATGAACACACCCCTCCAATGAGGGCACAGTTTCTTTTCTGGTTTCAGAGAAATCAGAGGTAAGGGCCAGGGGAAAATAATGAAGGAAAAAGGAGAATGGAAGCCAGAGAGACATCTATAACCCTGCCAAGGCCGCTGCACTAACATGAGCCACTGTGACTCAGCCTCGATGCTGGGAGGAAGCAAGGCCAGAGGATCTGCCCTGCCTCTCACGTGGTGAATGTGACATTGCTGGAAAGCAGGCCATAGGCATGCCCCTACTAGCACAGCAACAAGGCTCAGAAGGCACACCCACCAAGATGAGCACTCAGGACACCTGTGGAGGGTGTTTCAAGAAGGGAGAACAAAAGGTAGTAAAATGCAGATGAGGTGGGAAAACTCGAGGCTGAAAAATATGAGGAACATCCCTCTGGAAGCGCCGGCCTGAGCTCTTTCCTGTGGCTGCAGGAAGCATTAGTCATGTTTGGCCTTCCCAAGCCCTGAGCGTTGGGTCTCAGACCATACGTAGTCATGCTCAATGCTCTAGGAGTTGAGCTGCACTCGGAGACCTCCCCGCAGCAAAAGTTGCTCTTTTCAAGGCACCTGAAGAGTCAAGAAGCGCTTCAGCCTGCCATTGCTGGAGCCTTCAACATGCTAGTGCATGGGCAAGAGACCCCAGGCTCAAATATACTCCCAGAAATGACCCAAAACTGCCCTGTTGGGAACATCAACATGGAGCAGGCAGCTGGATTCAGCCATTCAACACACCTTACCATTTGCCAGCATACTTTATACTGTCCCTTTGACAGAACCACATCCAGAGGCAATATTCTTGCTGGTGGTCTGCCATAGGATAAATAGATTTACCTCGAGAGAGAAAACCCACCCTGTCAGCCGATGCACCTCAAAGTGGCTGCAAAAGCAGCTTACAGGCAGCAAAATTCACAGAGAATACTCCACATTTCTCCTATAGCTGTCCTCCAGTTTGCAGATCTGCTCAGAAACGGAGTCCTCTTGTAGGGGAGGTGTATGGATCACACCAGCATCACTATCAGACTCAGTCAGGACTGAGACTGAGGACTGTAAGAACATCATTGTATAGCTGGCATGAGTGAATTGTTGCTAAGCATTGACTGAGGCTGACAGATCTGAGTTATATAAATGAGAAGGTCACCGTATTATCCAGAGCTCAGACATTTGTGAGTTTGTCGTGTGGATTTTAAACCAGGCTGAACCCAATGCAGTGCTTGGGGAACTGATCAATTATACAATTACCGTGTCATATTTTGCTTTGAGTCAGAACTTCATTTTCACTTCCAGTCACCAAAGCTAATTACATTTTTGTCTGACAAACTAAAAATAGCTCATTCTTGTAATTCTGCTGCCACGGAAGTGATCAGATTACACTTAAGCTTCTTGTGATGGTTAACCAATGGATCCAGTTTAATGGGCTGAGATCCCTGAAGCTCTCAGACTTTCTGCATTGATGATCCTTCAGACAGAACTTGAATCATTATTCATCATATCCAACCAGACTTCCAGGATTTCTGGAGCACAAGGCAATAGCATCAGGGATGTAGGATTTAGCAAAACAGGTATTTTTTTCTTATGTGGGAATGTCTAAGTGTTCCTTTCAGTGACAGGCTGAGCAAGGCCTAACATTGCCACAAGAATACCTCAATTGTCACTGCACTTTCTGGGGAATAAGGCTGCTCCTTTAGATCCTTTTAAGGAGAAAAACAGCTTTTCAGAGCAACAGCAAAGAACAGGAGAATATTCCCCATAAACATCAGTCACTCCCCTACTGCAGTACAGTGCAGAAAGCTTTATACCTTAGAGAAGATGGAGCATCATAGAACAAAGCAACCAACCTCTTCTGCACCATGCAACCCACCGAATGGCAGAACATCATTTTTACCAGGACAAAATCACTTCTAGGAAAGGAGCAAAGATTATCCGAAAGCGCCAATATCTTTTATTGGGAAAGCCGCCATAGATGGGAAGAAAGCCAAACTCTGGTGCATGCAAGACCTTGGGAAAGGCAGAGCTGAATGTCAGCCTTGAGCTACAGTGCCAGCACTTCTCCAGGAATGATGGGGAGGGGACCTGACTCCTCGGCAAAAACCTAATTTCCCAAAATTTGCTGGGTTCAGCTGTGCCACAGAAACCTCCTGATGAAGCCATAGAAGGTGAGTTCTCCCCAGGTTAGGAAAAAAAACTCTTCTACATTTCTAGATTTGCATGTAGCTTCCCTAAAGAAACAGAAATATTAATCGGTTTGAAATGCATTGTGCAAACAAAGCTTCTCACAGAAAAATGCCTCCTAACAACTCCAGGCAATGAATTCAAAAAATCTAGCAGCAAAATACAACAGGACCTTTGTGGGTAGACAATTAGCTCACAGGTGTTGGCTCTAATGCCAACATAAAAAGTGTTTCCTTGAGACGGACAGCAAAATCCCCTGGGGCAAGGAGCCAAAGAAAATCCATTATTCTGCCCATGACATGCATTAAATAACTGACAAGGGACAGCACCAGCCTGGGCGTACCTGAGCCTCTTGCCTGAACACTTGTCACGCAGGTGATGCACAGATGTCTACAGGTCAGGATCACTACTTAAGGTCAAAAGTTAAAGATAAATGGGGTTAATTCTATGTAGCCAAACTTCCTGACCCTACAAACCAAGCACCAAGGACTTCCTATGGCTGTGTGGAGCCATTCAGCATATGGCCCAGAGGAAACAGCAGTTCCCTGGGCTGCAGGGGAGAATATTATGTCCAGGTAGGACAGGGCTCAAGGCAGCAAGAGAAGGGCCAGGATAGCAAAGTGATCCAGCAACATCAGCCCCACCAACTCCTGCTGGCTTATCAACCCCTTCCACACCCAAGGACTTGGTGACCAACAAGGCCCGCATCAGCTCAACTCTGCATCAAGGTTCCTCATACATGATTCAAGGGCCAGAGCTGTTCTTCCTACTATAGCAACGATCATGCTCATAGCACAACACTTAACAAAATACAGGGCCAGCATTGATTGCATCCACCAAGCACACCCCTGCAGGGTGGGGCAGTAGAACAAGAAATGCTCCAGACTAGGCAGTTAAAGGACTTAGGGAGGAGAAGGCAATGATCTGCCTTGGATTCGCACCCAAGTTGCTATTGAAATATGTTTCTGCAATAACAAGATGCTGAAACCTTAATTTTATCTCTCAACCTGAAGACTGAGACACAGTACCTGAGAGGCCAAGAATACTCCCAGCCTTAAGTGGGGAGGTAGTTCTGGCCCAGGAATGCAGCAGCAATTGGTGTTCACTGTGTAGCTCTATCTGTAATTCTTCTTCCTGGCCAGCAGCACTCAGAAGAATCAAAGAGAGTAGAAGTGGCAGTTAGAAACAACACTTTGAGGTCCTGTTCATACGCCAGGTAGAAACTTCAACCAGGGAACCTGAAGAGATTGCTCCAGCTAGCATTACTGTAACAATTCGTCTGGACAAACTATGTGGAGAAGAGCCCTGATCTTTGAGGACAGGTGATAGGAGCTGGGTTAGTCTGGCAAGGAGAAAGAGTCTACATCAACCAGAAGGGCAGTTATGAAGACAGATGGAGAAACTAATTTCAATAGCTGCAGACAATGCAAGGGGAAGAGTCACAAATTGCAGTTTGGGAGATTCAGCTTGGAGCCCATGAAAAAATTCTTCATTTGGGAGGCTGTGCAAGTCCTGGACTTCACACCCATAGGGGTGTAAATCTCCATTCTCAGAGGTTTTCCACACTCAGCTAGACAAAATCACACCTGACTTGATCCACTGCTACTGACAGTGCGGCTGAAAGATGCAATTGGACTAGCAATATCCAAGAAAACCTTCACACGGGCATTTCTCATAGAATTTGCCTGGTAGGCTGGATTAGACCATCTCTAGACATCTCTTCCAAACCCAGCTCTTCCCTGATCCTGTGAATATCAAATCAGAACACCCATGAGATGTCTCAGTACCAGTTCTAGTTGGCCAAACGACAGTGCACTATGAGCACAATATGAGCAATGTTTGAACTGATATATTCATCAAAGAACAATCTAACCAAATACAAGAGTATATAAAAATCCCAGGACATGGTTATGGAAGGAAGGCTTTTTAGGTCACTTTGGATAACCAGCTGAAAATGAACCCCCCAGCTGGAGAGCATAAGAAAGGCCTCAAAAGAGCACTGGAGAAGGACAATGCAGCTGAATACAAAAATGACAGGGGGAAACACTGTGTGCAGACCATTACCTATCACTACAAGACGAATAAGGAAAAAAAAAATGTTCACTGTGAAGTTCCAGGAATAGCTCCAAAAGAGGTATAAAATACACTGCAGTGCCTTGACGGCCTGTCTTACCAATGCAAAGACTAAGAAGGAAAGATAATCACAAGGTTTATAAGCCCTACAGGGAAGAAGAAATTTGATACTTAGGGCACCATGATCTAGGAGTCAAATGTGTAATACTAACCAAAAGCTGAAAGCTGAGGTCAGAACAGCTCAAAATGGAAATAAGAAGACAAGTTATTGATCAGGAACACAAGGAGCAAAGGGAGATTCTGTAATACGAAACCTTAACATAAAGACACAGTCTCTCTTCCCAAAGGCCTGCTCAAAGTCCAACAGAAGTCTCTGAGCTCGATCCAAGGACTGCTCATTAGCCTGTGGTTTATGCACCTGCACAACTGTCTCTGCCAGGAAGCAGAAATAATTATCTGGGGCCGTTAACCTAGTACAGAAGTAGCAGTTTTAACCTGCATCTTCTTCTAGATGCCAATTAGCAGGAAGATCAAGGTCTCCTGGGAGGAGAGGTGCTTAGTAGTATTCCCTCCGGGCAGAAACACTACTGGTGCATTCAGGAACAGACCTTCTACTGTGCTTGGATGTCCTCCCTCGGCAGTTACCTTCAGGGAATTATTTAGGAACTGGTCAAAGTGTTAAACCATGGAAAAAAGGGACTCCTGCCGTTTAAAAGGACTTACCTGTAACTACCACCACTGCTGCCCCCATCATCTTAGCAACAAGCACATTAACAAGGCCAATTGGTCCTGGGTAGAAAGAGAAAATGCACAATTGACAGAAAGCACCATCCACAAGCACATAAGATGCCAGGAGCTCAGTTCCTGGGCTAAAGGAGGCTTCAATGGTTTTTCTTAGGTGAGTAGATCTGGGATCACTACACCACCATGCGCCCAGGGTAGGGAGACAGGATGCTGACAAGGCAGATGTTGATGCCTGAAGGATTTGGCGAGGAAAGCACTGCCTGCTCCTGCGCTCCCTCGAGCTGGTGAGCTCAGCACCCCCAGGCACCGCACTTTGGAGCAGGGCTGCTCAAAATGTGCAGTACAGGCAAGGAGAGCCTCAAGGTCCCCCTCAGCCCCCGTGCAGTCCCTCAGCCTCCACCCCACTGTCCGTCAGCCTCCACCCCACAGAGCTGCAGCAGGCAGGGAACCCCAGGCCTCAATATGTTCCACCGTACCAGAGCCAGACACGAAGACTTTGCTCCCCAGAGTGACCCCAGCTCTTCGGCAGGCATGGATTCCCACGGAAAGGGGCTCAATAAGGGCCCCTTCTTCAAAGGTGACGTTATCTGGAAGCCTGCAGGAACCAGACAGAAGTAATATTCACCAAAGAGGTTTACAAGCAGTTAGGAAAAAATGTGGTACCCTGTATAAAGTGGGTATCAAAAGCCATAAACGACAGTGTAATGCAGCTAGCATAGGTGACAGCAAAAGGAGAGCTGGGCAAGACCCTTTTCTACTGCTTTAAGAAATAAATCCCAGCCCCACAACACTCACTGCAGCTCTTCAGAAAGTCACCATCACAGCTTCTCACACAGCAGGTGCCAAGAGCTGCGTCTGGGAGGAAGGGTGCTCAAACACCTCTTCTTTGTGACAGCCCTGAGAAGCTTGAGGTCGCATCTCAGTCAGACCAACACAAAGCCAAAGCAGCTGAGATGACATTTGTGTAACGGCACTTGCAAAACCTCAGCATATGCCATCTCTAGGAGGTATTAAAGGGATGACTCCGAGAGCTCGGATGCCTGAGCTTTGGCATTACATTTGCTCCTACTGAGTCTGTGCGCTGCGCTCTTAGCGGGGAGGGCGGCCTTGCAGGATACTGCTGCTTCTGCCAAGTTAGTTGGAGCACCCAACACAGAGCCTGTCCTGAGTGCCCATGGCAGCTGCGGAAGGACACACAACACCCATCCATACATCTAACAGCCCACTGATTTCAGCCATCAATGTCTATCTGTGTGAAAGAGGGACCTCATGCCAGGGAACCTTTTCTGCATCAGGTGGTCTTGGCATTTCCTATCTGAATGTGAGAGCTCATGTCCAAGCTCTGCATTCCACTGATTAAACTTCAAAATTTTAGCCAAAGTCTTTTGTATTGAAAAATTTGAAAAAAAAAAGGGGGGGAAGGGAACGGAAGGGAAGGAAAGAGGAAAGGGGAAAAAGGAAAAGAAAAGAGATAAAAGACAGGAGGGTAGGTAGAAAACAGCTGCCAGTCACTTCCTCCTAAGCAAATACTTGGGAAAAGTCAGAAAAAAAGATTTTAATAAAGCAGAGGAAATCAGTGACAGCAGGTCTGGGCAGCAAGCAGTTGGGCCCATGAGAAGAGCATCTCAGTCTTCCAGCCACTGTCTGGGATCTGCTTAGAAAGGAGCGTTCTGCCAGAGGACTCTCATGAGAATCAAAAGCATCCGCGTTCCTCCTCAAGGAAACCTGAATATCAATTGTAGCGCTACCAAAGATCAGTTTGGCACATTTGGCTGTTCGCCCCTAACTGTTGATGGAAGTATTTGCTCCACTAAGACTGAGAGGGGAATTAAGCGCCAGAGACAGAGCAGTCTCACAGGGCCACTTCCTTAGACTATGTTTAACTCCTTGTGTAACTGCACTTACAGGGGTATAATAATGCAGAGGTTTATGTGCCCCAATTTCTACTGTTCTAATTTGCCAGAGTACTGAAGCATACCGCTTCCTGCTAAGCACATGTGTAAGTTCTGCCACAGTTAGGAGCATATTCAAGTTCATGAACTGGATATGGAACAGATTTATACTGCTGGTGGTCTAATGGGGTTGCCCAGCAGCACACAAAAGATAGCTTGGCAAGGCTGTGGGTTTCTGATCTGGTTCTGCTTTAACTGGGAAGACTTTGTTTCAAATGACAAAGGCAGGTATCAGCAACCAATGCAGTGCTTTCTGAAGGGCAGCAATAAAACTTGTTCAGCTCAAAGAGTCAGGCAAAGATCTTCTGGTTGCGTCACATGAAGGCAAGGAGCAATGAGAAAAGAAACCAAAAGCAAGAAGCAAATGGGAGAAGGAAGATAATTAAAATTTAAAGCAATGGTTGACCTCCCAGGAAACATGGAAGAACAATTTGTTTATGTTGGGCATCAGTGGGGGTAACTATACCTGCCCAACAAACCCTTCATGAGGTGACTTCCATCCAGGACCTATACACGATACTCACAGACCACAAAGAGACAGAACGTGTTGTGTTATAGCAAAGGGCTCTCACTGTGATGCTCAAAATGGCCAAGAGGTGATGGCCTCAGCTAATTTCCCCTCCAAGGAGCACATATTTCTCTGCAAAAGGAGCAGTGACTGACTTGTAGCAGAAGCTGGCACTGTGTTTGTAGAAGCGGCACAAGTTCCCATCATCAGGAGGTGTTGCACAGAAGAAGATGCTTGGAGAGAGGTTGTAGCGTCCAACTTTGCAGTACTCATCTGTTTCTCTTGGGACGCCTGGCTCAATGGCCACTCGATCACCTGCCAGGGTGAAAGCAGACTCTGTTACCTGGGGAAAAGGTGGGCATGTAGGTGAGATCAAGGAAGAGAGCATGAAAACACCACAAAAGAGAAGGATAAGGGCACTTCCTGAGAAAGATTATGCTACAAGCACCAAGAAAGTTCCTATCACTTCCTGTGCAGGGGCCTCATCACCAAAATCGTCACAGTTACATGAAAAGAGATGGTGTTTCAGAGACACAGATACAGATCAGGTGGAGGCTTAGTCACACAAAACCCTCTCTCCTGCTGCCTTGTACTGAACCTTTGCTTTCCCCTTTCCTCTGAAGAGGCAGCCCTCATTTCTGGAAATCCCACAGTCACAGGGGATTGGATTTTTTTTTTCAGAAACTCTAGAAAACGGAATAGCAAATAATCAGGACAAGGCAGGTGAGCTCTGCTGGCCACCCAATTGCCTGCTCTAAAGAGCTGGTCCTTGGGAAGACAGCTAACACAAGGTGTAGAAGCACACCAGGAAGCAGGCAGGATTTGTCAGGGAACAGAAACTCTCGTGTGCTCCGATGCAGTAGTGTGGGCTGCTGGAAGGGCCCGTGCTGCAGGACCAGACATAACTGTTTACCCAGAATGGTGAGGCAGGGCGGACTGAAAAAACAACTGTGGGATCGAAGTACAACTGTTAAGTACACAAAGTACACAGTAAAACCCTTTTTATTTAGCATGGAAAATCAATCAGTGACAAATCTCGTGGTGAAGCTGTCCAACAAAAGCCCTCACTGGACACAATACAGGCAATATAGAAAAGGGAGGACAGATTTGTCTAGCCCGGTACCACTCTTGGCTCTGATTTGGCCATCAGATGCCCGGGAGAGAGGAGCAGGACCAGCACATGCCATTATTTCATTCAGTGTTCTCCAAGTCTTCAGTGATATTCAGCTCAAGGATCTCCCAAGCTAGATGTGATTACCCTGTTTTTAGTAACCCACAACAGATTTATCTTCCACCTTCCACTATATAAAACTTCAGCGATCACATCACTCTTTGCCAGGGAGATTAGCAGGTCTCCTAGATCCTTGGTGAATGCTGCACTTAGTTCCTCCAGCCCCATTCACTTGTACTGGAGGAGGTAGAGAACAGGGGATCTTTACGTGCCCTCTTCCTGCCCTCCGTAGGTCTTCAGCTCTTTGTCACATGTCCCCGAGATGTGTCTCCTGAGCTGCATCACACAGAAGCTGCTCCACATCTTCAGTCACCTTGTCCTCAGTTGACCCTTTTCACTTCTTATATCTCTTTGGAACAAGAATACCTGAACTGCACACAGAGCTCCAGAAGTGCATCAGTAGGGATGCACACCGAGATTGTCCTCTGACTTACTCCTCCTCCATGTCCTGACATCAACTGCATTTTTCACCATTACTGAGCACTGAGCTGATGTTTCCATGCACTGCGTCAGAGCCAAGGTCTCAGTTTCAGCAGCAATGGTTAGCACACTGTTTTAGGAGTGAAGCTGGTCTTGTTTCTCTTGCCATAAACACCACTTCATGCTTACCTGCACTGAATTTCACCTGTACCTTATTGCCCAGGCACCTATTAAGGTGTCTCTGCAACTCCTGCCATCTCGCCCTTGTCCTCTTCACCCTGCCTAACTCGCTCTTGTCAGCAGACCCCGCACACTTCTCTGCTCAGCCCATTTTGTAGGACATTCATGAGCCCTGGGTCTGGTAGAGATGCAGCAGTGACCCCTCTAGACTGCAGGAGGCCTTTTGCTCCATCAGTAACAGCAGGTTACTAGCAAGAGCAATGTATGTGGTTTCTGAAGCTTTTTTTTTTCTTTTTTTTTTTTCAGAAAACACCTTGTCCTACCATACATTTGGCTCTGCCTTAAAGTAAATTCAGACAACTCAAGAGATCGCAAGGCAAAGCACACCTGAAAAATACCGCAAACCGCAGTGGCCAGGGTGCGTGTTGAACAGTGCAGCAACACTCTTTGAAGGAGAAAGTTACAGTCACTGTCACAGCTTTAAACACCAAATAAATAAACATTACTCAAAAGCAATCCCGTCTCAAGAACTGATTAACATTCCTTCCTGTCAGCAATTCCTTCTCAAGAAGTAATTAACAGGAAAACAAAACAAAACAAGAGATTTTATTGCAGTCACCTGGCTGCAGATGAGTTACTCCTGCTCCCACTTTGACGACAGTCCCAGAAGCCTCATGTCCCAACACCATGGGAGCCTTCACAACAAAATCCCCAATCCGACCGTGCTCCCAGTAGTGAACGTCAGACCCGCAGATCCCAACGGAATGCATCCGCAGGAGGACTTCTGCCAAAAGGAGAAGAAGGTTTCTGTGTAAAAAAACTCACCTGTTTGGGTGGGTTTCCTGTGCCAGTGCCCCACAATCCAGACCAAGGATTTAAAACTGAGGAAAGCTTAAAATGCAGACAGAACCCTGCCAATTAAACCTAGTAAAACCTAATAGGGACATGGCTACTAAATAAGATTATTTGAGCAAGAACAGAAGAGCAATTGCGCTTAATCCCTCCTTCTCTCTAACTTAGGACTTCAGCTCTGGAGAGAGTTATTGACCCCAGCTCCTAACAGTTCGCACCCCGTTCTTATTTAGTCTTTGAATAAAATCATTTGACCTGACCCCAAAACTGTGTAATGTGAAATATATAATTGATGAAACAGGAAGAAAAACAAAAAAACAACAAAAAAGCAAAAAATAGCTAATGTGATACATCTTTGACTGCTCCAGCTCTTCAAGTGGAACACATTGCATGGCGTATTGCAGCGATGTGTTCTCTTCTAGATTATATTTCCACAGAAATATTTTAACTGTTTTTTAGCATCACAGAGTGGCTGAAGAGAATGGGAAAAGAAAACAGACTAGTAAATAAGACCGAGAACGAGAAGCAGTCTCTAGGCTTACCATTGGGACCTGGTTCTGGGATCGGACGATTTTCCTGTGAGGAAATGAGGAAAAAAAAAAAAGAGATTCAGCATGTGCAAAACCATGGGAACGCCTTGTGCAAAGTCAGGTTACCCCAGGGAAATCGGTAAGCACAACTCATACTGCACTAAATATATAAATAATTATAAATATATAATATTTATATATT